AATTAAAGTTTTTCAAGTTTATTTGCCAACCGTCAATTTAGCAATAAAAAACAGTTTAAGAACAAATATAGACCGTTATTGCAGCAGTATTTTCTAAATATACAGGGTGGTTTCTTTTATCTTAAAACGCTTAAATATTTCGGGAAAACAAAAACAATTTTTTTCTACAAAAAAATGTTCCTTGTAGCCTAGGCAGGGACCAACTTGAGAATTTCAAATGGTAACCAAAATATTTCACTAGAGATTAAGTGAGGAGAAGCAATCAATTATCAATCAATAGATGTTTTGTTGATTTAGAGGTACATATTTGATTTTTTTTATCAAACAATTTGGGAACCGAATATTCCTCTGACATTAATAAATGGCATTGATTGGCACATCACGCTGAAATTTTCCGTGCTTCAATAAAATAATAGAGAGTTTAGCAGATCTAAAGCAAAAAAATGGATTTTTAATATGTCTTTGGCACTAAATAGATGAAGGTAAAGATTGTGCGAAAAATCGTTTTCTTGCGAATCGCTTTTGAACCGTTTATGCTATTGAAAAAAAGTTGAATGCTTTTGTTCAAGTATTAAAAATACCTACAATATAAGGCAAACTAAATTAAAATCAGTTCATTTGTTTACTCAAAAAACGAAAAAATAGTTCTGCTTCAAAAACTCGTACTATAACTTTTTTGAAGCTATTTGTACACTTTTTAAGTGGTATACATTTTAGCTTAAAATTTTCATAACTTTTTGTTCATTCCTAGTTGTTATTAAAAAAAGGCTCTTGCCAGATCCTAAATTAGGATTTTTTGAGACGTCGGAGCGACTTCTCTGAGAGTCTATTTTACTCGTAAAGAGTTATGCTACAACGTTCAATTAAGGAAAAGTTGATTAATGAAGGGTTAATTGTTTAAACATTAAGTTGAAAATTAGATTGGAATTCTCTAGGATGTAAGATAAACCTTTACTGTTTGATAATTAATAATCATATTACTCACCCAAAAAAGCCCATTTCATATCGTTAATTTGGAATACACCTTGGTTGTGGTACTCTCCCAGAGTCATATTAAAATATGAAACATATGAATCCATTATTTATGCTGATTTGACCAAAACAAGAAACAAAAAGGTCGTGATAAATTAATCAAAAGTTAATTAGGTTTGGGATTTTTAGCTCAAACCTGTTGCAAAAATTCGTCCCCATTTAATGTTTATGAAAATGGAAAAATGGAATGATATATAACACTGTCATATGTTTTTGCTGCCGTTCCGCCATGTATTTGCCAACACAGCCAAGCATGCAAAAGTCCTCCGTGAAGTTTTTGTTTGCAATTTCGCCTCTAATTCCCAGTCATTTTTCGGGTGTAAATGCGAAAATGTACGCTGAAACAGTGTTTTGCGACTTTATGAAATATGATATAATGCTCTTATTATGACGTCAGAAATTAAGATGGAAAGAGAAGGGCGCGGTATTGATATGTCTATATGATATTATAATGTAATAGAAATGGCAGGCAATGAATTCGCATACTCTTGAATATTAATATTTAACATTTTTTTGACATGGAAAAAGTCAATTATGATGTTTTACCGGACGTTGCGTTTTATTTATTAAATTGACCAGTGAAATAAACACCTTAGGAACAAATTTTTCGTGCGTAATATTAATAGCGTAAGGTGTTCTTACATGCTTTTTGCGCTGATCTTGGGTTTTCCGGGTGTGTATACATTTATGATCTAATTGTCTGTGCTTGTTCTTCGAAAACACTACTACCCATTTCATCACTTTTTTGTTTCTGGCTCACTAGTATTTGCAAAATTCGGATTTGACCCCCATACATATTCGCCTCCATTTCATGATGAACTCGTCTGTTAATGTTCCTATTTAATTTACCGGTCCCATTGTTCCCTTTGATTTTGAGATTTGAGATTTAGAGTTCCTGCAATTCATTTTTTCCTTAAAAAATATTTTTTATATATCTAAGCTATAAGCTAGCTATTAATTCAAAGTAGCAGGTTCTTCTAAAATCGCTAAATACTTTCATATTAAAAGAGATTATAAAATCTTTGCCAAGTGGCAGCTTCAGTGCACAGGATCAAGTTCGAACTTATCAAGCCTTCAAACTAACTTACCAACCAGTAGAATGCCACCGATAAGCAGAAAGGATACGATAATAATCCACAGACTAAGAATGAGTAATAGAATAAATAAAGAATTATTATTTATTTATTACATGTCTTAAAATAAACTGGATGTCAATATCTACAACTTTTGTATATAATATTTTGCTCCAAATTTCCAATTAGCCGCAACAACGGGGTGGCGAAAGTTCGATTGATATTGGCGATTAACTCAAAAACAGTTAAAAATCACTATAGAACATTTATATGGAATGGGCCCAGAATTTTAGTAATAGCTCGAATATGCAATAAAAAGGACGGCCTTCCATTTAAGAAAAGGTAAGTTTGTACTGCCTTTTGAATTTGAGACACCCTGTATCAATTGGTGTTATTCTAAAATAAACTAGACGTTAATATCTACGACTTTTAATTAAATACTAACACGGGGAGGCCAAACTTCAATCAATAACCCTGTACAACTGGATAATACACGTATTTTAATTATTTTTTGCAGGGGCATCATTAAGGTTCTCTCCTTGGAATTACTTCTTCCTGAGTCTCTTCCTCGCTGTCTAACTAATATTACATCAGGTGTATGGAACAAATGGCATAACATTTGTAATGAGAAAATATTTATTCAGATTCTATCGAGTTAAATTCATGTAAAAAAGAGCGTCCTAACCACACACGTATGTTATCTGCACAATCCGCAAAAGACAAGCAGACAAAAGTGAAAAAAGGATTAAATTATTATAACGTATTCATAACATTATTACTATTCTTATAATATCTCCTGCCCATGGAAGGGATGCAGATTAAACACATTCTCCTTTATCCTCAAGATCTAATATAATAACTAGTCAATGATGTTATTGAAGTTCTATTATCCATCGAGCGCCTCAACCGACTACTGTTACATTCTTTCTGAATATGGAAAATAAGTGATCCTTATAGTTTCCTCAGTCCTCATATGTTGTGAAATACCAAGTCTGAAATATGACGTAACGTGAAATTATGTTCTATGAAGTTATTTACTTATATACCGACTTCAAAGTGTTAATACATTTATATTCACAATTTGCGCTCAAAATTGTAAGAAAGTGTTCTATTATCTTCCCGTTATATACTGTAGCAACAATTCTGATTTATCTAATATATAATACTGTTTTTAGTAAATAGTAGTACAGTAACACAATGAACAACAATTTATTTACAAATAACGAATCTTGATTTGCATTTTGTGAAATAGTAACAATACAAGTATATAAGTGTTTCGAGAACCCGAAGGCAGGAATTTTCGATCTGACAACGAAAAAAGCCACTGAGCTGAAAATCCAACTATCAACAAAATTTTCAGAAAACTACCCTGGATGGTTTATATTTAAAAATGAACGATTTAGTTCTGGCATTTCTCGGGAAATATTATATTGTTTTAACAGGATGAAAACATAATTCTGAAATGCAATTTCGCTTTTAGTTATTGAGTCTACCGGATATTTCATTACAGTGTTATATGCAAACTGCAACAAATCGGTTGATATGGACGCCGCGAGAAAGTAAAAATGTATAGTAGAAAAATCTCGAAACCCCGCAGCAAAACCTCGCAACGAAAAAAGACACTCAGCTGAAAATTGAATTATCAGTGAAACTTTCAGAAAAGTACTCCGGGGGCTATATATTTAAAAAAAGAAGGATCCAGTTCTTGCATTTCTCGTGAAATATTATACGTCCGTATGGATCGAACAAATAATTCTGAAATACCATTTGTCTCTGTTTATTAGGTCTACCGATGAATTCATTAGTTTTAAATTCAACATGCTTAGTTTAAATCAAATTTGTTCAACTTGTTTTTCTCAGAGTTATGAATATGCTGGTAAAGAATTTATTCCTCGTAAAGAATTATAAGTCCACTCTTAATATACATATACATGGTGATTCAAAATTGGTGTCATTCCTTTTAAGGGGTAATAGAGGCTCACTTGGAATGTACGAGAAGAACATTTCATGAAGATATTAACAATTGAAAATCGAATTTCAACTTTGTTATTAAGCATTATTTTGAAAGTGTTTCATGTTTAACTGGAAGCATATTGGAATACTTAAACGTTCAAAACGAAAAACTACGATCTTTGCTTCAAATTACGAAAACTTTTGATGTTAAAAAAGTTCTCTTGTACAATTTTTTAACATTAACAGACAGTTACAGGTGGATAGCCCATAGTGGACGACAATAGATGTTCCGGTTCCAAACACAGAGGAACAAGTATTGGACATAATTGCAGAAGAATCTTTCAGGGGCACAGAGAACATTGCACAACAACTGACACTTTCCCAGGCACCAAAAAAATACCGGCTACATTCCTACCACGTATATAAGATCACATTAAACCTATGGATTACTGAACACCGGCATAAATTGAGCAGGAGTTAATTAACCGAATACAAGAAGCTGCTCGAGAAGAGTGCATAATAAGGTCATTACACAGGCACTTGTTTGGAGTTACATACTCAAAACCGATTAATAATTCGAGGTTATGAGCTTAGAAATAGGTTCCGTCATTCAACGGTTTCTGTTGAATTTGCCGTTTATCCTTGTCTATCTTATCGTCACTCTCTATTTATCCATGGTTACCGGAGTTTTAAATAATTACGAAGCAACAGGTAATTAGGCAGATTACCTTGAAAAACATTGTTGCCGTTTTTCTAATATAGTTTTTTTGCAAACTTAATTAATAACAATTAATTTATTTTACTCATTTTTCTGCACTCATAAAACACCGCCAGACAACACCTCCAGAAAAATGACGCCAATTTTGAATCACTCTGTATGTTGCTCAGTAAAATATTAATATTGTCGCCAGAAAATAAGCTGATTTCGATAATATTTTTCAGGTATTGAAGCGTATCAACCGGAATTTGCTGAGCCAATAAGAAATATATCAGCCGCAGTAGGCCGAGATGCATTCTTTCAGTGTATCGTGCATCACCTCGGAGGTTATAGGGTAAGTCCATATGTGATAAAATTGAAGCATTTAGACATTGAAACAAATTAATTTAAACATACTAGCCACATTCGGTTGTGGTTAATGAACTGACATTATACGTTATTTAGAAATTCTAGTTGGTTTCTATAAAAATACTGAAAAACATTAAAGAAGTTTTGTAATTGAATTTAAAGTTGAAATTAATTAATATCTTTATGTGTCGTTCTCAATCTTCCTAACCTTGGCCATTACTATGTGAGAGTGCATCTCTGCCCTCCACCGGTCTGAAACGTTGTTCAGCACTTTTTATTCTAGTCCAGTCTCTAGTATTACTCAGCCATGACATCTATTTTCCACTTTCTATATTTCGATATTTTTCTTCTCGCAACATATGATCGACATAAGCGATTTTAAGACATTTTATAGTTGTTACTAATTGCTTTTCCGCTCTGGATTGTCTTAGATTACTTCGATAGTCAGTAAATCTGTCCACGAAACTCTCAGCACCTTAGGAGACTCCGCCTTTAAAATTATTCTAATTGATTCTTGGGATTCAGTTTTTCAGTTCTTACACTGCCTAGCTACTTAAATTGTTGGACTCGTTCTAATATAGCACCATGTAGGCTTAGTTTCCCAAGTTCGTGTTGGTCTCGCATAAATACATGAACATTTTTTTACGGTTATATTCAATGCTGATTCTATTACTGTTGTACTAATTTTATTAGTTAGGGATACAGCCTTCCAAATTGTGACAGAAAATAACGGAAAATAAATTAAAATCATCAGCGTATCTGATTGTATTTATTAGGACTCGTTCATTTTAAATCCATCCATCCAATCCAAAACCATTTCATGTCTTCAAGGGCTTCTTCGAAGATTTGGCCAGAATAAATATTGAACAGAAGGGGTGAACGGATTCAGCCCTGTCATAACAAATATGATGGTGGTATGACCTTGTAGTATGAAGTAATAAATAGATCATATCAAAAGTTTGATTGGTCGAGTCCTGAATACAGTTCCATCGTACTCTTAGCTTCTAGTTTATCCAAATCTTCTAGCCCTTTTAAACTATCGTCCGATTTAATAATACCAATCGATGAAAAGATTTAAGAAGTAACCTCTGAAACTTGGGTGCAGGTTTAATTGCAGGTTTGGGGCTCAAGTTCAAGTTTGAAGTCGAAATTCAAGTTTGAAGTTCAAATTCCAGTTTGAAGTTCAAATTCCAGTTTGAAGTTCAAATTCAAGTTTGGGGCTCACGTTATGGTTCTCTAAGCTCCAGCGAAAGTCTATAACAAATCTGGCTATGTTTGCTGAAGTTCGTGGAACTCTGGACTCTCTTTCAGATAGTGAAGCTGAGATGTTTTCCTAACTTGATCGACCAACATTTGGAGAAAACATCTCAATATTTGAGATAGTGGTTTGAATATTTCATTCGGAGTCTTAAATATCGGCCAGTTTGTCTCGGCTGGCAGCGAATATTATATCTGATAGGATTTTAATGTTAGAAATTTTTATTGACGCTGCTTTGAGAACACAAAATGTAGATAGCGTTTAATAAAGAGATAAACACTAATGGAAGCAAAATCCTAATTAATACAACACATTATTTGCTAATAGGCTATATTGTATTCCATGTTCGGTTTATTTAAGATATTGATAAATTGAAGCAACAAGCGCATTCTTGGTCTTCACATTCGGAATATTGAAATTAATTTCCAGGTATTATTAAAAAATTAAAAACTGGCCAGGACAGTAAGCAGTACAAATGGGGGTTGCAATAACCACGCAGATATAACAAATCGTGGAAAGGCGCCGCAAACTCGAGATCATTTATAATACGCAGCTGGTCCGCATAATCGGGAACAGTTCGTGACCGGTGCTGAGACCTTTTCCTATTTTTATTTACTTTCTTTGGGCTGTGAAAGTCCTAAAAGTTGTTTAGAACCTGATCGTGGAATTTGCTTGTATTTTGTAACGGTGGGGAATATTTTAGAAGGTCTTTGAAATACGTATTTCATGCCACCAGAGTAGCTTAATATTTCCATAGAATTAAGTTAATATCTGATACGTACTTTGAAATCTACAGATTATTTTAAAATATCAGCGATATCCCTGTTTCTTGTATTGAATCGGCTTGTAGGTCGATACCTAAAAGCAAAAATTGTTTTTGATAACTTGGGCGGTTAGGTTGGAAACGGTAACGATTTGGATTCCATCAGGTTCGCTTAGTATCAAGTAGGGAGCTGAAGTAAGCTGAAGTAGGGAGTGCCTAGCAGATGGTGAGAGAGGACTTGGGATTCTACAAAGTGTCTACAAGTTGGGCTGCGTTTCTTTTCGCATGAGCTCAAGCAACGAAAGTTCAAGGTTTTTTCTACCTCTTCGACATATTTCAGAAAAGTTATCTAGCACTCTTGAATCGAACTGTAATAACTGGCGAAACTTGGATACATTATTATACTCCTGAGTCAAAATAGATGATAATAGAACGAAGAACGTCTGAAGAGTTCCCACGCTCCTACGTCGTAGAAGAATGGTATACGCCTGTAAATATTGTCAAATAAAGCTACAATTAAACAAAATAAGTCAGTCCTTATTATATTTAATACATCTTCGTACATTGCTTTGCGCCTCTATAATAAAACAAATCGACAAGTTGAGCATTTCATCTTCATATTTTTTAAATTTTAAGGTTTGAGAAGCACAATGTAAATGTGCTCACAAAACTACAAATTAACCAAATATATAAAGTTGACAACTGATGTTATACATCTTTTTAAATCAATCTGAGTTGTAGGTTGTAGTTGTTGTGACTTTTTTATACCAAATTCGCAGCAACGAAATTAAAGCAAATCCAAAAATTCGGTCGAAAAATGTCGGTTCTCAAGTGTTGTATTGATAATATTTAGCTATGCCCAAATTCCGCTAAATGCACGTTGACGTGCTTTAAAATAATTCAATTTTTTTTAACTTTATAACAAAGTTTAAAATTAAATTGAGAAAATCTAAGTTTTACAGAGCTTAGATCTTTCAGATATAAACTAAACATTTTTGAGAACATTTTTTCTTTGCTTTCCAAGTAAACTCCAGTCTGAAGTCCATAAGTTCAATTAGGTTTCCTTTGGCATGACCTAATTGACGTAATTTGGACTGTTTTTAATGTTTTTTTATTAAAAATATCTACAATTCAAGCAATTTTCCACTTTCTTGTTTTCCGTTATTGGGTTAGCACATGTAATTTCCCGAATCTTGCTATATACACCTGTTTTGGCTTCGTTTAATTACGTGTACTGAAGCTCGAGCAAAAAGCACATAAAACTGAATGCAACTGTTATAAGATTTTTGTGCTGTTCCCGTACCTTAATACCTAGAGGGACATAAAAATTTCATTACCATTTCAATTTTCTGAATGCTGTGTGGTTATAAATTTTAATTTGTCTGGAAAGTTACGTTTACACCTACACTACAAATTAAGTTAAATTATAATTATACCCACAATATGAGGTAACAATTTACGTTGCCATTTTTTAAAGGTATATGGAGTTTTTATGTTTTCCCCAAAATACGTTTGTATAGAAGGTTGTTTTTCTTTCTTTCAAGAAAACCATTTTAAAATTGACATCTCTTGCTCTTGAAGTGTTTTTGCTTGCAGATTATATATTATATGTCTGTCTAATCGATAAGTTGCACTCTGGATACGATGGTATCAAATATTATAACTAGAAAAAGATGTTAGTACACCTATGATTTACGGCAGGTATTTTATCAACATAAGTAAGTAGCATCGAGAAGAACATGAAATATAGAGGCTTTTAAGAAGTTTCAATATGCTTCACTGTGGCTGATGGCTTCACCTAAATAATGGCAAGAGCATAACTCGCTTTATGGAAAAAGAAGATTGATGTGTCTCTCGCTACTTGAAATGCATATTTGGTGTTTTATGTTGTCTTACACTCCGCTATACTATTATTGAATTTATTTTTATATGCTCTGAGTTGGCAAATGACATCCCGAGATTATTATCTATGGCCATAAAAGAGACACAATAAAACAGCCTACATCTTAAATCCAACTTCAAATAGAATAGAAATGCGTAAAAAGAGTTATTATTGTTTTATTCACACAAGCAATTGCACGAAACAGGCACGTAGGAGCGAGCTTTCCACTTCCATAATTGGCGATTTTTACAAACCTACAAATCGAAGAAATGTTTGTTTCACTCAAAAGGAAGATCATTTCATCTCCCTCTATGGATGCTGACAATTTTAACAAAATACGCAGAAGCTTACACGAATGCATATTGCAGTTTGTTTTGCATCAAATGAACGAAATCACTTATCAAAATATGTTTATTAAATATGTTTCTTTTCAATGGGGGGTAGATTTAAAACAAATTTGAAAATGCACCAAATACCATTACGAAAAATTAAAAATAGCTACCAAATTATAATTAAGAATATCAAAAGCTTTCTGATTATCAAAAAAGCTGTACTTTATCTAATTGCACACGTTGCAAAACATAATATCAAAATCCCCATATATTTATACAAGGTGTTCCGGAATATGTGCGCATGCCTTCTGATTTGTACAGGGGACGTTAAAAAAACATATTAACAAGTTTACAACAAAAAAATTCAGAAAAACATTTTTAGTATTTCGGTTTGCCAGGGATGAGCTAGGTGGAGTTGAATAATAGTTAATTTTTTTTATTTACAATATATATTTTATATATTTAAAATGCGGTAGAAGCAGATCCTTAGATCCTTCAATAAGTGTTCGAAAATTAAGTGCCCGGTTTTATTGTCCAAAATTTACTGTGTTTAGGATCGTTAAGAAATAGGAATTGAATCCTTATCACCGACAAAAGGTGCACTTTTTAAGGTAGCATGCACTTCTTTCTGAAGACTTCCACGAAGAATAATGAATTTTCAAACTGGCTTTTACGTATGCACAGAAATTATGCAAACTTTATCGGTTCAGTTATGTTTACGGGCAAAGCTGGATTTTCTAAGCACGGAATA